AAATAACTGCTGAATCCTTGTTTCCTGCAACTTACCAAGGCCTGGAGTTCATTTGTTTTCCATCAATGTCAGATACGCACAGTTCAATTCTTTACACATATCACACAATGGATATGTCAGTGATAGAGATGTCGTCCAGTTTTAATAGACTAGTGTTTATTATCTGTGAGTGAAAACTAACTTAATGCCGTGATGTGGATTTTTCCTTTGATATTCACAAAGCATCGTACAGATATGTGTAACATGAAAGGTTTAAATACTGACAAGCTTAGTACGTGAACTCTCCAGTTTATAGTTACCTTCGGGTCTTTAGAGTCTGTGAGCACTATAATCCATTGGTTCCCTTTGTGGACCCATACTTTGTGCAGCTGTTTCTATGCTTATGCTGACTCATGGAGGTCATATTCTATAATAAGTATTTCTGTAAATAAAAAAAAAATAAAAAAAACCTGAGCGGTTATGAGCAATAACTAGTTGTTCTTCATTATATCAGGGTCATAATAGGTCTTTTTTTGGCAATGAGTCTGTGTTAACTTGTTAAGAAAAGAAAAGCATGGTTTAGATATGAATAAATAAACCCCCAGTATAAATAAACCCCCAGTATAAAACATGTTGAAAAAATGCTAATAACCTTCACCAGAGAAGAATGAGGAAAGTCTTTAGTATAGCCTTAATTTGGAATATAAACCTGTATATTTTTGGCATTCTGTAGCACTCTCTGTACACTTCGGTGTGTGATGGTATGTGCTCTTTGTGTTTACAGCTTATCTACGAGAGCTTTGCCAGATATCTGGTGGAGCATAAAGGATATGACAAAGACCTGCTGAATCTAACTCCTGCTACCTGGGATTTCTGGTGAGTCAGCAGCAGCATCAGTTTTGTCGGCCTAAAGCAAAATGGGACAGAAACACGTGTAATGAATATCTGACGATCCCTCAGGTACTACATTCATCTGATATTAATGGCTAAAAAAGAAGTAACATCTTTGAAGAACAGAATGTTAACCTGCACTTCATCATTGATGAATGTATCTTTCCCTCTGCTGTGTTGACTGATAGTAGGCCAGTACTAACCCATATCCAAGTAAAATCAATATTCGCATTCAGATGTCACTATCAGCACCCACCGAAGTGCAAACATTCCTATTCACAGTTTTCATTTGTGTGAAGCCCTGAAGGGCAGAGTACCATTCAACCTTACTGAACATTTCATCAAACCATAGTGCAGACATATCAATTTGTTTCAAACCACAAATATTCTGCCTCTCATATGTACAAAACCAAAGAAGTGTGGACATACTGAAAGTTGTATTTTAATCACTTTTAATCAATCAAAGTCATTGCAGGAGCTCCACTTTGGTGGTTTTCTTTTAACCCTTGTGTGGTGTTCGTATTTTTGTTACTCAGCCAGTGTTCATGGGTCTGGTGGACCCGCTAGAGTTTTGGCTTTCCAAATTAACACTATCAAACAATTTTATGTTAAATTACTCAACAGATGTTTACTTCATCCCAATTACAAGCCATATGAACAGCAAACATGGTTAATTTTTTCCCTTTACCTTTGTTAGATCACATTTATGAATTAATGTGCTTCTCGTTTTTCTTTTATATAAAATGTTATAAAAAAATCTGTTATAATCAAGTGGAGTGAGTGGAAAGACACAACACATTTACACGTGAAGCAATATGTTTCACAACTAAATGGGATCAGCTGCTCATCAATGGTGACATTAGGCCCAGGGTTGTAAGACAGGGGGAGGTGGTGCACACACTTATCCCACACTGTCCTGATGGCAGGTAGCTTGTCTCTCTGCCGTCGAGCTGGTCTGTCGTCTCGGTTATCAAAACGGATAATCCTGGAAATTTTGTTGAAGTTTTCCAGAAACATTGATGCATGGAAAGGTTCTTGCCGGTTTCTGCATCCCACAGGGATTCTGTGGATTCCCCTTTGGACCTGAAAACTCCAGCAAGGATAAGAACCCCAAAGTAGGCCTTTGGGGTTCTTAGATGGATTTGGTCCATCTCCTTCCACCTCTCTCCAAAAACACACCTTCCTTCTAGATTACTGCAATCCAGAATAATTTTCTGGATGGAATCTGGGATGAAAAGCTCAAATGAAGACTTGATGTCCTGTCAGCCGTGTTGGCCCTGGCTTATCACAGTAGCAGCTCTGCAGGGTGGCTCATTTCTTGGGCAAGAAGACCATTCAATTTCATCAGTTATTGACATCCATATTTCTTCACTTGCTGTCTGGTGGGCTTGTTCTGGTCCTGGAGCTGGCTGCAGATGGGGTACTCGTCTTCGTTTTGTTACTAAATGGTGCTCAACCTCATCCTCTTCTTCAAAGTCACTGTCAGACTCAGAAATGTGAAATATTCTGAAACCTCTTTGTCAACATCATCATCAGAAGCCCCTCTCTCTTCCAAAATCAATTGGATGGCCCTCGCAGCAGATAATCTTTTGCCATCTTGATCAGTTGTGATAAAGAACCACACTGGCAAAGTCTTATTTATAGTATTATGCCCCTAATTTGCAGGTGGGACAGGGTATGAGAAAATAAAATTTGGATCCCTAAAGAAAGAGGGTAAAATGTGCGGGAATGTAAGAGCAGACAGTGTTGATAGTTGAATTTTCAACAATGTTGCAACTTTGTGCGGAGCAGGAGGGGAAGAAAACACTATCAGCAGCACCAGAAAGGAGGAAGACAGAGTGTGGGAACACAGGACCTACACTTTCAACACTTTTATTAGACCTGGGTCCAGTGGACCCGAACACCTTGTATGTAATGTAAATGCGTGGGGGGAGGTACAGTATGAGGTCATTGAAAATTTGTTCAGATTCATGTTCTTCACAGAAAATAAGCCAAAGCCAATGAATTTCAGGTTGAAAAAATAATTAATTGTTTAATTTTTCTTTTGAAAAAAAACTGAAAACGGGTCTCACAGACCCGAACACCATACAAGGGTTAAGTATATCTTGAGTACTTTCACCAGGACAAAAGCATGAAAAAGAATGTCCCTTATATATTCTGTATAAAAGGTATGCAAAAGTTTTACATCTGAATGGGTCAAAATTTCCTCTTCAAAAGGGATGTCAGGACACAAAAGACAAGCTAATTCTTCAGCTAATTGGCTAATGCTAGCTGGATAAGGTAGTGATAGTGTTACAAAATTCATGTTGGTGTTTTCAGGTTGAAAAGATAATTAATAATGAATCAATTTGGAGTTGTTTTTGCACTTTTATGGCATCTACACCCTGATAACAGTCTTTAAGTTACAATAAAATGCAAGAAACTTTATTGTAATTTACCCACACATTATTATTTTTTTTTTTATCAGATTTACAAAGTTGTGCATGGACACAGTCTTGTTTAATAAATGTTAGTCGTCTTGTGCTTTTACACCTGTGGCTCATTCCCTCTCCCTTTATTAGCCATGGATGGATGTAAATTCACAATAGAAATGTGTGTTTAGCAATCTTAGATCTGATATCAGACAGCAAAAGAAAAACTACTCAAAGGAGAAAGAGTAATGGAGGCTATCAACTCTACATTTAGAACAAAAGGACCTGGCAGATGTAAAAAGGAAAAAAGTACATCAGTTCGCAGAAAGAAAACATCAGCTATTTATAGCACCCATTTATTAGGGTACAATTTGAAATGTGAAAATGTTGCTGTTAAATGTTAAATATGGCTTCACCTTATTATTTTGCTCAAGTCCAAAGGTCTTGCCTTGCTTAAAAAAAAGAGTTGTAGGTATGGTCAGACGTACGCCTGGTGTTGCTATAGTTCTACAGCACATTTCCCATTTATGCAAGTTTTTGTGCATACACATTCTTTATCCATCTGGCTGTGGCGTATAAGCATTTTCCCCTGAACACACGGTGAAACCAACAATTGGTAGGCTCAAGAGATGGCAAACAATTGCTTGACCACTGATTTTGTACTTGTAAATCAAGTAACTGCAGATAGTTTTTCTAACAGAGACTTTTGTGTTCAGTTTTAAAGGGCTAGTGGTGGATCTGGAGGATGGAAACCTTGTAAAGCTAGCGGAAGATGGAACTGTCTTAAGGTATGAGTCTGCATCATGACAGTTTCAGCGTTCACAGAACTTCAAAGTGAGATGATAACTTTATCACGGTTTTTCTTCTGTTTGAATAGAGCGACACATGGAACCAGTGATCTCAGCACAGAAGAAATCATCAAACATTATGGCCCCAAAAGAGAGTGGAATCACTTTAATAGCCTCAGTACCTCCTTCACGAGATCTTGTATGATGTTTACATCCATCTGTATCAATCAGTAACTGTAAGCTGTTAGCTCCTGACCTCTTAATATCTCCCATATCACTAGAGACCTGTGGGTTGGTGATGTCTTCTCCTTTATATGGAAATTTCACCTATTTGGGATACCTTACTGAATAATAATCTTAAACTGAATAATAAGCTTACAGCAGATTGCATGTGAAAAACTTGATTTGAAAGGTAATATCTTTCACTGTAATGTTTTTGAAACTGTGCTTTTTTAATTTGTGGCTAAATGGTTTGCCAGTGACTTGTTGGAGCTTAAGCAGTTGAGAAGCTAATGTATATTTTCTTTATATTTTTTCACAGTTTTTTTTTTACATTTCATTCATTTGCTAATATTTTCTTTTGGTCTTTGCAGCAAAATACTACTTCTATGATAACTACTTTGATCTGCCTGGTGCCCTTCTCTGTGGACGAGTCGTTGACATGTTGCACAAGGTCATTTTTGTTTTTTTACTGTGAGATTTGTAATATTGGTTGGCATTTTCATGAAGAGAACACATACTGAAACTTAATTTATGTTTGTTTCTCAAACAGCGAGGAAATGAGGTGAATTCTGACTTTTGGAAAGACATGGTGGCTGCCATTGACCACAATTACAACACATCTGCGTTCAGAGGTAAGAATTTTATTACAAACCTGCATACATTTTAGATTTCTTATGAGAAGAACACAAATTAACACACATAGGTAATCTTTCGTTTTCAAATAAGAACTTTTATTCCATGTTTGGTCAGTGAGTGGTACATAACTTAACACATCCAAGGAGACATAGTTGTTTAGAAAAAATGGTTTGAATTTTTTTTATCTTACGTTCCTTTCCTGATCACAGTGCTTGTGAGAATGTGCTGATCTCTAATGACATATAGTACACGTTTGCCTTCTTGTATGTCTTTTTATATGTATATTACAGGAAAATTCTTAAACAACAGACATTAATAAAACAAACACAAGTAAAAGACATGCTGTAAATGTTACAGGCAGTTGTAGAGCACCACTTAAAGTATCATGTATCTTATGTTGTTATGTTTCATGGATTTTAAAATTCCAAAGGCACACACAAAGTAAACTGGGGAAAGTGATCATTTTTAATCTGCAATAAATTTCTGAACAACTTCTTAGCAAATTGAAGACATTTAATGAGGCGGTTAAACCTTTAAAACTTGTAACCACATTTTTCTTTAATCTGCAATCCAAATTCTGAACTTTGTAAAGTGATATTTTTCTCTGAGTATTTAAATGTTTTATAAGGTTTTGAGGTTTATTTGGATTTGTGAAATCACGTTGAGGCAATCAAGAACCCAGAGAAACCGCAGTGAACATTATCGGCAGCAAATATGCCATTACTCTCCTCATCAGGGACCTGAATATAGACTCTGTCACCTGTATACAGCTGGAGAACAGCACTGCCTGCCATCTCATCCAGGAAGCCCTTGTTGTACTCATCATAGGTGAAAAGAACTGGCTCCTCATTTCTGTAGAGGGCCACCAAAGCATTGGCACCATTGACATGAAAGTGATAGCTGAAATAGTAGAGGCCTGGGACCTGGCAGGTGAACACGCCACTGTGAGGGTCATAATGGTTCTCGCCATTGTACAGAATCTGGTTAAACTGAATAGGGGTTACCGCTGGGGGGTAGGCCGTGGTTAGCACAGCACTAAAAGCGGACATAGGAGCCTTAATCATCTGAGGCATCACAACCTCATGAGATTTGATTGGCATGCTCTTCTCATGGTGGTAGACCATTTCTCCTGGTGGACCAGGTGGTCCAGGAGGACCAGCAGGACCTGGGAGACCATCATGACCTCTGGAACCAGGAATTCCAGGAGGACCATGGGGACCAGGAATTCCCTTAGCTGTCAAGCCAGCTGGGCCAGGTGGACCTGGAAGACCTGGATGACCCTTGAATCCAGTGGGACCTGAAGGACCAGGAGGTCCAACGGGTCCCATTGGTCCAGGCAGTCCAGACTCACCGCTTTTACCTGGTGCTCCTGGGGCGCCAGTGTGTCCCTTTGGCCCTTGGGCACCATTAATACCTGGGAGTCCTGGGGCACCTTGATGGCCTTGTGAACCCTTTGGACCTTGAGCACCATTATGACCTGGGATTCCCGATGGACCTACTGCTCCAGGGGTACCTGGTTTTCCAGTGAAACCTGGAGCTCCCTGTTCTCCTTTGGTTCCTCTTGGGCCCGGTGCACCTACCATGCCAATGTCACCTTTGGGCCCAACTGGGCCTGTCTCACCCTGAAATCCTCTTGCACCCTGTGGGCCAGCTGGACCCATGGGACCAGTAGCACCTGGCTGACCGGTAAATCCAGTTGGGCCTGGCTCTCCTTTTTGACCAGTAGTTCCTGGACTACCGGGGGCTCCTCTGCTACCTGGAATTCCAGGTTCACCTGTTTTGCCAACACCTGGCATGCCAGGTGAGCCTGGTTGACCAGCAGGACCCTGTGGACCTTTTACTCCCATTGGTCCAGGCATACCTGGGGTGCCATTCTGACCGGGTTTTCCTGGTGCTCCTGTGCCTGGTTGCCCAGTATGACCCTTTGGCCCTTGCACACCCATTGGTCCAGGTGAACCATCTCTTCCAGGCTCACCAGGCTTGCCAGGTTCTCCAGGATAACCGGTGGCACCAGGTTTACCAATTCCAGGTTTTCCAGGCATTCCAGATGGGCCCATTGGCCCAACAGGCCCTGCTGGTCCTTGAACGCCAGGAACTCCAATGCCTCTCTCTCCTTTGGGTCCATGAAGACCAGGAATTCCAGGATGTCCCTTTAAACCAGGCTCTCCTCTTGGACCCATTGCTCCAGAGATCCCAGCTGGTCCAGGTTTTCCAACAGAAGAAAGTCCAGCAGGTCCAGGAGATCCAGGGGTACCAGGTGCACCTCTGTGACCCATTGGTCCAGTTGCGCCAGGCTGACCTCTTTCTCCAGGCTTTCCAGGGGCGCCTGGTTTTCCAGGGCTACCTGAGACACCAGGTTTACCTGCTTGAGTGAAACCAGGTGGTCCGGGTGGTCCAGGTGGGCCTTGTGGTCCAGTGTGTCCCACACCACTCTTTCCAGGAGGTCCAGGAGGTCCCATTGGTCCTGGCTCACCTGGAGGACCTTGAGGGCCTGGCTGGCCTTCAACAGCTAGGGATTACAAAAACCCACAAAAAAAGTAATTAATCAGTTGATAGAATGTATATGTCAAAATGTTATTATGCCTCCGTTTTTTCTGGTTTTAGCTTTTGCTCAGCTCTATCTTTATCTTTGAATTTAGTAAATGTATTGATGAACTGAAATTGAATTTATATGTTGAGATAGTGGCTTCATAATAGAGCATCTTGTGTCCATTTATTGTACAGCCTTTTATGACCCTTGAATAACCCTGACATCTGATATCTTCTCCATAAGATCACAATCTGACTTGAAACACTGATCCCTGTAAATTGTGGAGTGGGTTTTTCACAGCATGATCTTCACAGCACAGTAATCTGTGGTGTTGCTCCCACACAGTTTATGCTTGCTGGTATAAGACCCAGTTGTACCCTCTCCTATGAACAGCAGCTGTATATGTCCACCCAATACTGCACCCATCCTTTTCCTGTACTGCCCATGCTAGTAAATGTGTAGTTGGTGGCATCAAATCAACATCATCTTAATGCATTTCGTGCCATATAAAGTACAATACAAGTACAAGTAATGGCTAAAGTGGGATGAATATGTGTGCTAAACTGGTGTATAATGCCAGTTTGTAGTGGAAGTTAGTGTTCACTAAATTTACAGCTATAATATAGGTGTAGTTAAGCATAGTTCCTTTTCTCCAACAATACAAACTATTTATAGCTTTACTCCAATTTAACAGTAGATAGGGAGCATCATGGACAAAGTTGGCAGTTTGTTCTTCAAACCTAAGGTAACACACATAACTTCCAGACAGTCTAGTTGTGTTGTCTCTTGACCTCTTAACATCAAACAGGTTGCTAGCAGACTGGTTTGGATTAGGATTAGGTTCACATATACCATGTATCAGGAGTTTTTGTCTTTTTTGAAATATGCAAATAGAAATCGTTAAAAAATGGGGGGTTAACTGCAGGATCAAAATGCATGTAAGAGATTTGATTTGAAAGGCAACATTTTTTTAGTTTCTGAAAATATGCCCGTTTGGTGAAAATCAACCCTAACCTCAAGTCTTTTGCAGATGACATGGCTGAGATTAAGAGATTACATTTGTTGTTCATGCATTGGAATTTTTACTGATGACTTAAACTTACATGTATTATTTTTCAGTTTGGTACTATCTTAAAGTTAATTTAATACTTTTAGTGAAAGTAAAGTAAAGGACACAGTTTCCAGAGCTGTCTACCTTTAAGTATCTTTATAAATAATATAATTATCATTTTCATTTCTACTGTAAAAATGAAAACCTGAGCACTCTGAGCTTTAATATTAACAAGACAAATCATTTATATAAATGCTGTAGCTTTTCATCATAACTCTGGATGCATCCTTGTCAAATGAAGCCCTGTCAGAGAAACAAATCAAATGGTGCTGGCCTCTCTTTTGAGATGGTGTTTTGAGAAAAAAAAGTTCTCTGAGAGGGCTATCATTTTCCTGTCACATAAAGGCTGTGCTTGAAACCTCACAGGAGATGTTTGTCCAGAAGTGGGAATTTTTGGCAGCCAAGAAAACCACAAAATGAAGGTGATGATACTGGCCTCGGTAGCTAACCCCTGATCTGAACTGCGTGTTGCCTGTAAACACTGTGCATGGTTAGGCTCACATTCCATGTAGTGTCATTATCCACGCTCAGTTTGGCTGCTTCAGTAAATACCCCCTCAGTCTGACTCTTGATTCTGTCTTTTATATTAGAAAGACTGTTTCCATTCTTTCAGCTGAGTGAAGGTCCATTAAATTTGCTGTGGTTTGTTTGGGAGATTTACTGTTTGAACTTATGAGAGCATTTCTCCGCAGCCTGTATAGGTTTTTTTCCCCTTGTAATTGTATGGTGTGATTTTAATACCACAAGGCACTTTGCGAGGGCGTGCCTGCAACGTGGTCGCAGCATCTGTTTTGGAGATTTGTCAAATTTGAGCTTGCATTGTTGACTTTGAAATCTAGATTTACGTAAAGGCACACAAGTCAAACCACATCAGAGCAAAGCAGCAGAAATAAGTCCTTCTGAAAGTTTGACTCTTTGTTTTGTTGGGGTATAAAATTTAGTTTTAGGCATCATCTTGGTTGCTGTGTCATAACTACTGCTTTGTTTTTTATGACACATGCAGTATACACAGCTTTCCTCTTTAAACTTAATTTATCCAGAGCACAAGTGCTTGCTTACAGCCCTACCCCACCTTTCAGTTATATACAGCGGTACACAGCAGTTTACTTGGCCTGCTTGATAGCACTTAATTAAGGAGGGTGGCACTTTCCATATGTATATGAGTCAGGAGTTTGCCAGGATATGTGACATTCGTAGCGATGATAATTATGATGAGGATAATGACGTGTAGCTTGTTGAAAGATTGTCTTCAACCTATGTAAAAGGCTGCTGTGTTTGCAGGGTTCATGCAGGTTATCAGATCAGCGGTGACAGCTCAAACGGCAATTTTTGTCGTGAGGTGGTGACTTGAAAACCTTGCTTTGAGTTTCCTTTTTAAACCTCTTAATGTCCACCAGGTTGCTGGCAACCAGTTTATCGTAAGGGACGGAGTTAGGCTTAGGTTCACATCTCCTCCCTTTATATGGAATATTCAGGCTAGCATACCCAAACTGGAATCTTGTAACAGTATGAGGCAAAAATGTCTGTAAAAGGCAAAATCTTCAAGTTTTTAAAGCTATGCTTATTTAGTATGTGGCTAGAACCCTACATGGTTTGCAAGCAACCCAGTGAATATTATAAGTTTTATTAAAAATTACTACTATTTTATTTTGGTCAAGTTTTTAAACCTTTATACCTTTTGTAACTTAATGTCCACCAGGTCAGTGCTGACCTTTGTAGAGTTTGGTGAACTGTACGCTTAAAATAAATGTATGCCCAATGCAGGATCTTGTAGTTTCTGACAGTATGTGGCTAAAATGAAACCCGACCATGACCATGACCCTGGTCTTCAGTAACCTGGTGGGCATTAAAGATGGTAGTATTGGAATGATATGGCTTAATTCATCTTATTCATCATTTGTACTGTTTCCCTCATTTTTCCAGCAATAGAGCAGGTTACAAAATATGACAAGTGTCATCTATTCCTTTTTAGCACTTTCATTTGGTTTTAACTGCTCAACAAAAATGTGATGGATTATGAAACTGATGGAGTCTAAAAGAGGTGTGCGTTCCAGCCTGCAGTCATTTGAACACTGGGCTTGTCTGGAGTTAACATACTAAAAGAAATAGATGCACTTTTTGCATGTTTTTTTAAGGCATGTTTTCTATTCTGGCTCCTCCTCGATTTGTTATTGGGATTTTTATGAAAATAAAACACACACAATAAAACTCACCATGACTCTTGACAGGGTAGGGAGTCTTGCTCACTTTTGGGACATGATAATACCTCTCAGGCGTTGCCTCAGCTAATGCTAGGAGGACGAGGAGGAGGCTTGTTACCCTCAGGTCCATCTTGTGACGCTAAACCTGCAAAGACAAAAAAGAAAATCACTTTTATGAGAAAAAGCATCTTCACATACAATCAGTGCAAGTGGAGGAGATGGCCAAAAATTAAACTGGCTTGTCCTTTAAAAAAAAAAAAAAAATCATACATCTATTGATTCACTGCTAGAGGAATATTTTGTTGGATCGGCACTCTCAGGTGCAATCTCTCTCCTGGTGTAAACCCAGCTGCAGCACATGGCTCATTACAGTCAGCACTCTGACCCACCTCTCAGTCAGAGCCAGGCTCCAGCTGGGAATCCCCTGATACATTCCCCTGAAATCAGGCAAAAGCCACCTTACCGGGAAGGTTTAGGCCTCTGGAGAAACAGTGGGGAACTTGGGAGGCTGCTGTCCCGGCGTGGTGCTCGTATATCCTTAGTTGTGGAGTCTCTCTTGACTGAGCGGCTGCTGCTGCTTCCCAGGGCACTGGGCTCAAGGTATTTATACTGGTCTTTAGCAGCGTGGAGGATCTGCCTGCTGGAAGTTCCTCCCTTATTCTGATGTCATCTTTAATGATGGTGCCATGTCACTTGTCACTCTAGGGTGATTTTCTCTCTCTCTCTCTCCTCACTCCTTCTGGTTCTCTCTGTCTGTGCGGAGCAGCAGCAGTCAGGGGATTCCTAGCAGACTTTCTATGGGTGACATGTCCCAGTGAGGGTGATCTGTGAACATAACACCTTTAACAGCTCTTTTGACTGGCACTCTTGTGACAGATGTCTGCGTTAGTGTCCCTGTTTAGCATTTTTAATTGCACAAACATAGGTGTTTTCTTAAAGTCTAAAAACATCAAGTTATTGACTAAGTGGGTTGTGACGGGATGTTTTTTCTGGAAAAGTAAAGACTGCAAGTCTGACAATATTTTCCTCCAGTCGGAAGGCTCTGTACTGGTCAGGCTGTGGTGTGCTATACGGAGCAGACAGCTATTTTCAGTCACATTGGGTTAAATGTGAATTTGCACCCATCTTTTAATGGGTGCTGGAAACTTTCCCTTTCTCATGTGTAATTTTCAGCAGACTGTGTGTATTCTTCTAAACGCATTTCCAAACTCAGCAGTCTGACCTTTCATTTGTGTTCAGGTTTATATTTCTCAGAGTAAAAACATGTCATGATGCTGGCATGTTTATGTCTGTATATTGTCTGTGTAATTTTTGCAAACCAGTCTGTGGTTTTTGAGGCTGAGATCCACAGTGCAGCTTTGAAACACCAGGAGGCAGAAGTGAGGTTTTTTTTCTAAGACGCTCACCTGCTTCGTCCTGTGAGAAGCCTCCTGTTTGCGCTTCAGGCTCAGGGAGCTGGGTGCTGCTCTACCAGTGCAGCTGGAGGATAGCTGGAGTGAAGTTATTGTTAGTGTGGGATTTTTTGTTTTTGTTTTTTTTTTAATGGCAGTCTGTGTTACAGAGAAAAAAAACCTAAATTGTGTAATTGGACAATGATCTAAAGCTACATATCTGAAAAAGGCATTCTGCTTTAGTTTTAATATTTAACAACAGTCATTTACTAATCATTTAAGATCAATGTTTAGACAAAAATAATAAAAACATATTAAAACCTTCTTTCAAAATAAATGATCACTTTGCTGTCTGCAACACATTTTTAAAAAGTTGTGAAAGAGGCAGCAATAATTGTACGGTTTTTACTAAGTTAACTACCTTTAATTTAGCAAACTCCCACCGTAAGGGTGTGTTTTAACTGATGAAACTGTGTCGTACTCAGGCTCGGACATCTGATTGCTGCCTTTTATAAGTTTATTCCACAACCATAAACTAACACCAGTACAGTAACCGTGCCTTTACAGATGCCAGGTAATCAACTGAAAGACACAAAATAAAACAACCATACAACATTAACAAAGCAACACTATTAATGACAGTACAGTTTAGTAATAGTCATATTTATAGCTTTAACACGTTACTTGGTTAACACAGAAACTCACCAGCTCGGCTTCATCAGTCATAACAGCGATATCAATGAAAAGAAGATCCGGCAGGTAGGATCTATGAGCGGCCGTTAACACGTACCATCCCAGACTTAGATAAATCACTCCGTCTTAAATAAATTTGTCATTTAAAGCAAATATGAGTCTGGCTGATAATAAATCACAACAAACAAATTGGCATGTTAGTAATATGGGAAGAAACCACACAATAATAGACTAGGACAGTTATCTAATATCAAGCAAAAAAATAAACAGTAATTAGGAGAAAAAAAAAGAGCATCCCAGAGAAACTGAATCCCTCAGAAGTAAAGATGAGAATGAAACACTTTTTGGGCAAATAGTTTCATAGAGTAGTAGATTTTAAGAGAATTCTGGGATTTTAGCATTTACAATACATAATAGAAAACAATCCCTTTATGCAACAGATAGGGCTGAAAACCAATACTGCATGATGGTGATGATTATATAAGTCTTTATTGTCAACATGTTTGAAGAAAACGTGGTCAAGGCCCTTTTTCCTTCCTGTACTGTACCTTGAAAAAACATATTTTTTGTGCTTTTTAAAGTGGGGGATGTTTATACATTGCTTCAGGGTTAGAGTAGGTTGTAGGGAGTTGTGATCTTTGGGTCTTTAGACAGCACTACATCATTCTGGAAATCACAACACGGGCACAGGACCACTCCAGAAACCACTGAACAATGAATTAGAGCCAAGTTTATTTAAGATGGATTGACAAGAAGTGGTGTGTGCTAATAATCAAACCCGCTTATTATCAGCACCAAGTTAAAATAGCAGGACAATGCCAAACTCCCCTGCCAGCAGTCTAGACCTGCTACCCTCTGAAAGTGTTATGAAATGGAAGCTTGAATAAGAAAACATGTGCCATTCAAGACTGTAGCAGTTGTAGCAATTGGACTCTTCACTTCCACAATGCTTATGCTAAAGTCATAGTAAGGCAAAACAGTGACCAGAGGTTGTGGTGCAAACAAAATTATTGCAACCATGTGCAGTGAACTTGTGATTTCAATGCTTTTGGTTCCTTCAACAATGGGGACCAGATTGGTGTTCACTTGCAGTCATCAAGTCAGCAAGTTTCGTGCATCTAAATGGTGATAAAATGGCCAGAAGTCAGAGTCAGTCCGCTGTCTGTTAAATTGCCAATGATTGGGTCAAGAAACTCAAAAATTCCTGCTCCAGTAACATGGTTGTTGTAGAATGGCAATTTAACTAAAAGATGACCAAGAGCTTAGCAAACACTGTTTTTTTTTCTGACTAACTTCTTTTTTTCTCTCATCTGTACTTTGGTGTGACCAGGCAAGTAAAGGTGTAGTGAAATGGAGCATTTGGTATTAAATTCTTAAGGAAGGAGGAAGGTTTAACATTCTTTACAAAAAGTCCAACCAGACGGAATTGATGCTGCAGCCACTGGACGAACTTCCCAGGTGGAAGGAGTTATCATTTTCTGACTCCTGTCCCATTAAATGTACTAAAGGCCATCACTGTAATACTTTAATGTTACAGTGTTACAGGCGTTTCCATTCGTGACCCATGCATGTGGACTGCTTGTTTTTTGTAATTGTCCTATGATCCTCACTGACATGCAGATCATTTACTTTCAGTCACATTTATCCCTCTGTTTCATGCTCTTTTGTTACTTAAATGTGAAGAATCATCTGCGACTGTGCTCCTGGAATTTGTTTGAAAAAGTACAGAACTTTCAAACAATACTTGTTAGATGGGTGGCTGTAGCTCAGGAGGTAGAGCAGGTCACCTACTGATCGGAAGGTTGGAGGTTCAATCCCAGGCTCCTCCAGTCTGCATGCCAAGTATCCTTGGGCAAGATACTAACCCCAAGTTGCTCTCCGATGCATCCATCGGAGTATGAATGTGTGTGAGTGTAGTTAGAAAGTACTCAGTATAGAGGTAGTGCTTGTGAGAATGGGTGTGACTGGGTGAATGTGGCGTGTTGTATAGAGCTCTTTGAGTACTCTGGGAGAGTAGAAAAGCGCTATATAAGAATCAGTCCATTTACCATTTAGATGACTGAGTGGACCATCTATCTTTTATCACACTTGTAGCTGTGGCCAGTAGGTTCTCATATGACATCAGTTGGCTAGAACAAGCTTTGGTTTGGCTACAAGTTAATAGCTTGAAGCCAAGCAAGCAGTTGTAATTTATCTAGGAGTTGCCATACTGAGATTGGGGATGGGCATTTAAAGCAAAAATACTATTTGATGTTCACAGAGAACTATTCGGACTAATTCCATCTTTAACTGTGGGAGATGCTCTAATGGGTGTCACCACTGGTTTTGTAGCTTAACCAAAGGTCAAGACCGTGGCCATGGTTAACTCTGGCTCCACCCTTCCTGGTAAGATTGAGTCTCATTAGGCTCCACTCGCAGCCCATGTGATATTTATACATTCAGTGAGTAGTTTTTTTTTAAATTGGTTTTTCTGTTTCTCTTTCTGCCTCACATGACATTTTTTTACACATGTCAAGTAGAATAAATGCAAAATTCAGTAAGCAAAAAAAAAAAAGAAATCAATGAAATTAACAAAATCAAATTAATGAAATAAGAATAAATAATTGTATTATCAATAAACATCATGAATTGTATCTAAAAGTGGTTGTGAAGTAATCCTGATGATAGCCTGACATGGTTGAGGTTGACAACCAGTACAACTCTGACTCATGACTTATCCAAGTAATGCTTTCTGCAGCTTAAACTGTGTTAACTTCCTGATCTTCATCAGCTTACATCTGCTGTACATAAGAATCGTGACTGGCCTGGGACTGTGTAATATATCTGTGGTTTTAGAAAAGCCTTTCCTCCGCTTTCACCGTATCATTTACCCTGCCAGCCACAGATGAGCATTCAGCGAGCCATGGGCATCTTCGGTAAACTCTTCGAATGAAATGACAGAGTAGCGTGGGAGGTGGAGTCGACATTTAACAAGTTTCTAAGCTGCAGATACGCCATTGCATCTCACCATGAAAGTGGCAGTGACCGCAGTGAGGCATGGCTCCTTTTTTATTTCAATTGGATTACTTTTTTCCATTTTGGTGTGTCAGAATTAATGCCTCCCTATCTAAATCTGGCCGCTGTGAGGTTTATTGTAAACGGCTACTTAGATTCACAGCCTGTATTTGGGCGAGTTTGTGCTGTGTATGGCAAAAAGCAGTCATAAAGCAAAAACATGTAATTAGGAGGGGAGATGAGCTCGATAAGAATTAGTCTTCAGTGTTTTCAGACACCTTGTGATGGCAGGCTGGGTTGCACTTGTGGGAAGGGTCTGCTGTAAACGTTGTTTTGCCCCTCCAAACATTAACACACTGCCGCTTCATTCCAGACATGACTTAATTCTTCTTCAATGGCTTTAATTAACTCTAACAGAGTTTGTCCCCCCACTATACTCAGCCTCTGTTTTCCACATTAACTTGAAACATGTTTATGATTAAGTCACATTTGTGTTTTCTGTGATTCTGAAAAAATG